ACAGCTTACAGTCCATCATCCAGGGATGTTGAGGGGAAACTTGGGTTGTTTCTGGACATACCTGGGCCATCCTAGGAGACAGGCCCCAGACTGGGCTCCCTGGCCTGTGTCACGACGTAATGCTAATCGGGTTCACCCCCTGAAGCTCTGTGCTCTCTAGAAGGACATGTTCATTTATGTCTTATGCCGTTCCTGTGGGACAGCCCCTGGCATAGCACCCCCCTCTTAATAATAGAGGCCCCAAGGAATCTTGTAACAAGCCCTCTCTCATCCTTATGTACACATCATAATGTAAACCCGAGAACGTTTTAAAGCTGGGCTAGTGCTAGGGCCCAGGTGGTTGAGCCTTTGCCTAGCATGCTTGAGGCCCTAGATTTGACCACTTAAGTCAGATGTGGTGTCACACACCCATCAAACCAGCCCTGGGGGCGGTGGAGGCACAGAGATCAGAAGGTCAATGTCATCCTCAGCTACATAGTGAGTTTGAGGCCAGCCTGGGCTACATCAGAATGTTTCAGAAAAAAAAAAATCCATCTTGTAATATACTTAAAAACAGCAACACTCACAGTTTACTGACTTAAAGACCACTCTGTCTGTCTTTGAGTCAAGTGAACAGAAGCCAGCACGAAGAAGAGCGGCTGGATTTACGTCTTTCTTAGTGCCGGTTGTGTCTGGCTGAGGGAAAGGTGACTAGGCTTGCTCACCTGGTTCCCTTGCTCTTGCTTACTACTATCATAGTCCCAACTTGCTTCAGGGAGGAGCTTCCAGACTCCCACAGCTGCCAGATTAGGAAAAGGAGGACCCAAGGGCTCTTAGCGCTCCCTGCTCTGACAGCTGGGGAAACCAAGGCACGAGGACAGAGCTGGCACTCTGGACTCTTTCTAGGACCTGCTGTTTAATGAGATTCACTGGCGGGAGGACTGACCCTGAGCCTGACAGCAGCTGATTTGTCTGGGGAGTGGGGAGAAGGGACAGGACTGGCTGGCCCTGGGACAGCCCTGGGCAGGGGCAGGCAGGTGTCTGGTGTCAACACTCACTATCTGGTTATGGGCAATGCCATGTGCAGGCCCTCATGCCCCAAACCGATGCTCCTGGGAGGAGCCCTGTTCCCAGAAGCATGTCCCTGGACACTGCGGTCAGCGTCCAAGTTCACTTCCTGGTTAAATAAACATCTGTGTTAAATAGCCCAGTTGGGCCCCACCCAGAAGCAGCTTCGGAGGAGAACCTGGGGCACTGAGCCTGGCAGGCCTCCCCGGTGAAGACACATCCATCATCGTGGAGTGCTAAAGCAGAGAGGCCCGTGTGTCCCACCCTGAGTCTGCCCGTCTGGCAGGAGGGACGTGCAGAGCCACGCATGCCAGGGCCCTCCCAGAAGTCTGTCCTCGACGCTCTGAGACCCTAACAATGGCGATGACGACAACTTCAAAAGTCTGGGAAGAGGGGAAACCTCTCCCATCCATCACCGTGTCCCTGCAGTGAGGGGTACACACCTTGTTTTTCATGTGAGGCAACCAAGACGCCTGAACAACTGGCCCATGGTCACATGACTGCCCACAGCCTTGGGGAAGAGCCAGGCCCAGCTCTATGGTGGCTGCCCTGAGGGTCAGGGATTAGAAGGAGCTGAGTCTAAAGACACCAGCCTGGCCAATCCTGGAATGCCAGCCCCAGGCAGGTGCCACGCAGGATCACTCGCCACCTAGAGTGAGCACAGGCGTGCATAGTTCACTGAGTGCAGATGGTCCCCCACTTACAGTGCCGTGGACTGACCTGGGGTATTTTGACTTAACAATGGGCTAATTGGGGCATCAAAAGCATTTATTTTGTTCAGTTTTGTCTGGAGACAGGGTCTCAACTGTATTTCCCAGACTGGCCCCAACTGCTGGGCTCAAGTGATCATCTTCCTCCGACTAGGATTTCAGGTACCTGCTACCACACCTGGCTTAAATACATCCTGACTTAACCATATCCTAGACTTAAGGTGGGCTTATCACACACAACCTGGGTGTCAGGGAAACATATGTACTCAGCCTCTGAGGGCCAGGCTCTTTGCCAGGGCTTAGACACTGGAGCTGGGCCTAAGCTAAAATCCTGGCTAGGCAAAGGGTAGGAATCATTGGTGCCTCAGTTTCCACATCTGCAAAAAAAAGATGGTGGAAGTAGCTGGATTCAGGGAGCTACTGAGTGTATATAGGTCAGAGCTATGCTTAGCAGTTCCTGAGTGTCCCTACCTGGGAGGCTAGAGACGAGAAATAACGCCCACAGGCACAAGGACAGGAAGAGGCAGGGCCCAGGATTTGAACCCAGGTCTTCTAACACCAGAGCAGTGGCTCTCAACACTGTGTGACGGGTGAATTACTGGCCTTGGGGGAGACTGAATCCAGTTTCACTCTCTGTCCTCAATTTATAAGGGACAGACAGCTTTAAGTCTCTTGCCTACAAAATACCTTTGTCTGTGGATGCTTTGTTGTGTGTCCCCTAGGCTGTGAAGGCCTGCCCTGGCTAGATGCATCTTCCCTTGTGAGGGTTTCCCACCTGCTGGATTCTGTTAGAGTCTCTGCCTTGTGAGCCCAACACTGGTCCTGCCCTCTCTCCTGTCTCCACACTCCAGCTGGAGGCTACAGTGTGCCACAGACAGGAGACTGACCCAGGCCAGCCTCTGCCCCGATAGGGTGGCTGCCGTGACTTAAACTTCCAGGAAGTCATTAGGGACCGGCAGTTGGGGAAAGGCTGTGTTTATTTGGCACCTAATCTGTGCCAGATACTGTATCTGATTTTATCAGCATGAGACGTCTGCCTGGCAGCATCTGAAGATATTTTAGGTGTCACTTGGGATTGGGGTGCTGCTGTCTTCCTGCAGGCAGAAGCCATGCCCGCTGTTAATTATCCTAAGACACATGGGAAAGTGCCTATGGCAAAAACCAACGCTATGACCCAAGATCAGAGAATGACTTCTGGTGTTTTCTAGGTTAGGCCCTGTGATGGTTAATATTGTGAACTTGACAGGATCTAGAATCACCTAGAAACAAACTTCTGGGCTTGTCTGTGAGGGAGTTTCTAGGTTGGGAAGACCCACTCTAGCTACAAGAGTCGTTATCCCATGGTCTGATGTCTCGGACTGAATAGAAAAGGAGAAAGTGAGCTGAATCCCAGCACTCATCTCTCTTGGCTCGGTGGCCATGGATACAATGTGACCAGCTGCCATGTTTCCCCCACCCTGATGGACTGATTCCCTGAACTGTGAGCCAAAATAAACCCTTTGTTTTTAAGTTGCTTTTGTCGGGTATTTTGTGACAGCAATGAGAAAAGCAAACAGTCCAGGTGCTTGTTACACAAGGGGGTGACCTCTGAACAGAGCCCTGAAAGAGTCAGCAAGTGGGGAGAGAGGAGGTAGGGAGACACACTGCAAGACGACGGGAACCTGTGTGCAGAGACCCCAAGTCAGGAGGGCATCGTCAGGACAAACGTGTGGGGTCAGCGGGTGTTTCTTTGTATTTCAGTTGAAACACAGACACATGTGCTTGCTGGAGCCTCATAGTGCGCACGTGTTAGATACCTGCGTTGTGTGCATTTTGCAGAGAAGAAATTGAGGCCCAATGAGACTGAATGTTCTGTTCAATGAGCAAGAGCCAGAGGCAGGAACCTGCTCGACTCCAGAGCTGTGTGCTAACCATACACCATGCCCGCTGTAGGCAGGCCTCCTGTTTCTCACATGTTGACCCAACAAGAGGCCTCTTGGGGTTAGAAACACCCAAGGTTTAACACCTAAGAGCATTTATAGGTTTCTCTGTCTGCACAGGGGAAACTGAGGCTCGCTCCCGGAAAGGCACTTGTATGGGATTGTACCCAAAGGCAGGTATGGAGCTGAAACTGGAAATCAGTGTCCTGGCTGAGTGAGCTCTACCTCTCCAAGGGCCACCTGTCTCTTGTTTCTCCAAGGGAAACCTGTGTGTTCCCTATACTCACTCTCTGCTTCTTTTTTGCTTCTGGACCAATTGTCAGCAATGTCAACCTTTTTTAGTAGGCATCAGGTTTGGGGCCACATGGTGGAACTTCTGGTGGTAGAAGCCCCTGGCATCTGCCCCCATCCATCCTTCCTGTTTGTGGACAGTCGGTGCATTCCCACAAACCTGGGGCCTGACTGGTTAAACAGCTTCCCTGCTGAGGTCAGCCACAGAGAGAGTGAGTTCCCATCTCACCTGTTCATTCTTTGACACAGAAGAGCCACTATATGCTGAGCACTGGTCAGAGATGGAGTTCCTTTCCTTTAGGGGAGACAGAACCATCTCTCATGGATAGCAGGCCCAAGAGGAGAGTACCCAGGAAGTACCCTCTTGAGAAGGGGGCAGCTTAGGCATCTGGGGAAACTCCATGGAGGAGGCCAAGCCATGGCAGAATCTTTAGGGCTTCTTTTCTTTGAGGTTCTGGGAACGGAGCTGAGAGACATACCTGAGCTGAGAGACATACCTCAGCCCTTGGTTTGTTGAATCAGGGTCTCATTATGCAACCCAGACTGGTCTGGTGCTCATGATCCTCCTGCCTCTGTCTTCTGGGTGCCAGGCTTATAGATGTGCACCACTTTGCCCAGCTAGTATGCCTGAATCTTAAGCATGGCTGGGAGCTGGGCAGGGAGAAGAGGAAAGCTCTGGTGGAACAGTGGATTCGAAAGTGAGCAAAAGAGGACTCCTTAGTCCAGATACCACAGGTCATCAGGACTGGTGGGACGGAGAGCTGGATGCCAGGCTCATGCCACCGTGATTGGGACATTGATTGAGCCCTGTGGCAGGCACCATGCAGGGCATCTGTTTGGCAGCCTCCTGGGGTAGATACTCCTCCTACCCATGTGTACAGATGAGGAAACGGAGGTTCTGTGAGGGTATGTCACTCGCTGAAGGTCATACTGATAGTGATAAACACTCAGACCCACCTCTGACAGCGTGGTCATTTTCAGGGCTGGCCTTTCAGCTACCTACCCTGCTTTCACTGTTTTCTTCCCCCCACAGGTTGAGGGACAGTCCAGAGCCCTTGTCATTGCTCAGGAGCTGCTGTCTTCAGAGAAAGCGTGAGTGCTCCAGCAGCTGCCCGTGGCTTGTACGCAAAGCCTTGCCCCTCCCGGCTTGTCCAGCGTAGAGTTAATGCAGCGCCATCCCTCTTTCCTTCCACAGATATGTGCAGATGCTGCAGCACTTAAGCCTGGTGAGTTCATCATTTTGATTGTCGCTAACTAATTGTCCTGTTACAGGGCTGGACTCTGAGAGGCAGAAATCAGGGAGCAGACAGGGGTGACTACATTAACAGGCTTGGTGGCCGAGGCTCTGGGCCAGGCTTTTCAGGGAAGCCTTGTCTGCTGATGGATGTACTAGGCAGGATAACTCCCTGCCTGGGTAGGGTGGGAGCTCTGGCAGAAGGCACCAGGAGGGAGTTTGAAGATAGATGGGGATACTCAGGGCTGTCTGTGTGTGTGTGTTTGTTTCTGTGGTGCTTAGGGACAGAACCTAGGGCTTGCAGCGTGCCAGGTGACCATTCCACCAGTGAGCCATGCCCAAGCTCTGTGCATGTGCCTTATATTTGGGGCCTTATATGGATCATGATGTGTCTACACAATGGCAGCTGCTCAGGGAATCAAGAGGGTTTCTTAGTTATCCTGGCCACCTCCTCCCTAGGAGATCTCTGGCAACAAGTGCAGGAAGAAATCATCGAGAGTGCAGAGGAATGACCATGATTATGGAGAATCTGGGCAGGCTTCCCTGAGGAGGTGGCTTCGATTCAGGCTGAGTCAGTCACAGGGAGGGTTGCACGCAGCGAAGATGAGGGAACTGGATGTGTAGGCCCTGTGGCAGCTCTCCCAAGTGTCTAAGGATTCCCAGCCCCGCAGCAGTTCAGCCTTGATCCTTGATCCTTGGCTTCATCTGTTCAGCTCATAGAATGTCAGAGCCACCAGTGGTCACTGGTGGGCATTTGGCAGGTAGTGATGTGTAGGCTCAGAGGAAATGACTGGGCCCAGGTCACATAGTGACGGAGCCAAGGCAGACATGTGTTTCCTAACACAGTCCACTGTTCTCATGAATGATCCACACCTCAGAGCAGAAGACCAGAGGACCATCTCCCTGTGTCCTGCACCAAGCCAGGCCTCTGGGTGAACCAGTTAGAGATCATGCTGCTGTGGTGTCTCCATGTGAGCAGGGAGCAGCTGAGTCCCCGGTTTAGCATGGACAGCTGTTTGGGATTCCAGTTGCGTGTGTGTTATTAAACCTGATGTTCCCAGGGCTAAAGTACCCCAGTTCTCCTCCCCTTTCTCCTGAAAGGGTGACTCAGCAGGGCAGAGAAGAATGGACCCCTGAGTTCTGCTTCCTCCCGGCTCCTGCCTGACAGCCTCACATGGGCTGGGCACTCTTGTTTTATGAGACATCGGTGCGAGTTTGCAGCGCTTCCTGCCAGGTGGAGAGAGGCTAAAGCTACTGGCAATCCACAGCGCCATCCTGGGGAGGGGAGGGCCAGTAAATCAGTGCAGAAGCTGCTTTCTGGAACTGTGCTGCTGAGCATTTATCACATCAGAGCTGTGTGGACAGAGGTGGCAAAAACCTCGACACATGGCTCCAAGCCAGGGATGCTGATCTTAAACTATAGACTTCAGGATGTAGCACTCCAACCCAGGGGCTCATCCCACTCGCAAAGGTTGGCAAGTTCTCTACTCTGTTGGAAAGGTCCCCAAGGCCACCATGCTGTGAGGAGGGGAGTGGTCTTCTGTTTTTCAGGCTTGGGATTCAACCTCATGCTTGCCAAATGGCCAGCAGAGCTAATGTGGGCGAAGCTGCAAATTCAAGTCATTCAGGTTGATTACTGCCACTTGGGGACCTGGTTCCGGAAGCCTGTTGACTGGGAATTGTTTTTGTATTTTTGAATGTTTGTGAAGAAAGACAGAGAAGAGCGTGAGCCTTTAAAGACCAGTGTGGTCCACAAAGCCTAGAATATTGTTTTGCTGGGCCCTGACAAAGGTGCCCTCTTCTATCCTTCCAGGAGCCCGTCATCAAAGCTTCCACCCTCCTGCATGTTCCCTTCTATCCAACTAGATGGCTCTGGTCGCTCATTTCCCTCTCATCTCCACAGCAGCAAATACCATACCCACATAGCCATTCACCTCTGTTCACCCACTACTCAGGTATCTATCAACCGTCTAAACACTGGCTCACTACTCTATCCCTTTACTTCTATGCCATCTACTCATCAATCCATCCTTTCTCCCATCCATCTATAAATCCACACACCCTCCCCTCTTCCCCTATCCACTCACTCATCCATGTACACACTCATCTCTTCCTTTCCATTTATCTATACATTCAACCACGCTTGCCCCCTTCCCCATCCATTATCAATCCATCTTTCTATGGATTTATTTATTTTCCCTAAATCCCCCATTCTCATTCTGTCCCCCACCCCCAGTTCACTCTGAAATATCTTAAGCTACTTGGTTGCCATCATTACTGAAATAGGCCTTGGAGCCCCAAAGATGAAAAGGCTTCAAATTTGCTGCTCTTCAGTAGGTCTCAGTGTGTGTGTGTGTGTGTGTGTATGTGTGTGTGTGTGTGTGTGTGTGTGTGTGTGTATACATGTGTATAGGCCTAAAATTGAGCCATTTTCCATCTTTTATTTCTTAAGACATGTTCTCTCTTATTTATTGAGACAGGTTCCCTCACTGAACCTGATGCTCACCAGTTCTGGCTAGTCTTGCTAGCTGATTTGCCCCCCAGGGATCCCTTGTCTTCTGCTTCTCAAGTGCTGGGATTGCAGGGGACCATGGGAGCTGCTCAGCTTTACCATGGATTCCAGGCGGTGCCAGGAGCACTTTACCCATGAGCCATTTCCCCAGCCTGCCAGGTCTTGTGTTTGTGAAAAGAGAGGGTGGGGGTGGTGAGAAGGCGTACTTACATCACTCAGCATAAATAGAATTTGCACAGCTGTATTTTGGGGCAGAACCTACAGGGGCATGATGGGAAGGGGCTTTTCACTTTGGAATCCAGGAAGGCTTATAGGAGAGGTGCCACAGAGGTGGATGTGGAAGGAACGATTCTACCAGGTGCAGAAGGTGGGTGGTTGGCCTGGGCAGGTGCACAGAGCCTGAAGATATGTGATGTCGAATCGTGAATCAACTGTGTAGTTAAAAGTGGCTGTTTCACAGAGGCAGGAGGCCAAACTAGGGGTTGGGGAAAGGACCCAAACCCAAGATTAGCAGGTTGCAAAGTCCCCACAATGCCAGTTGAGGGCTTGTGCTTTTCCTTGCATGTGATGAGTTGGTGTTTTGAACAGCACTGGTCCCTGATCACCTTTGTTTATGTTTTCCCATTTACAATTGTTTTTTCACCTATTAGAAGTTTGTAATTCCTCCCAGAGGTCCCTCCTCTGTACAGAGGCTCTCCAGACTATCAATGGGGAATGAATGGGGAGTGGCTTCTGTCAGGTCCCTGGGGAGAAGTCCTGGAACCTAGAAGAACTGGTGTCGGGCCCATCAACCTCTTGGCACCTTCTACAGATCCCTTGTACCACAGCTTTCCTCTCTGCCTTCTGGATGCCTTTAAAGTGCTGTGGGGTGTCCTGCAGCCTCTACGTCTGCTTTTCCATTGGCTCTCAGCTTCCACGGCTTGATTGCCAGTGTCTTCTCTTCCTTTGGGTCTCAGCCCAGGGGTCACCAGGGAACAAGCAGGTTCAGGACTCAGTGATGTGGAGTAACATGCTACTGTGCTCACAGACCCTCAGTGAAGTTCCCATGCCATCTCTCCTACAGACTCTCAGTGAAGCCCTCACATCATCTCTCCTACAGACTCTCAGTGAAGCCCCTATGCCGTCTCTCCCACAAACTCTCAGTGAAGCCCCCATGCCATCTCTCCCACAGACTCTCAGTGAAGCCCCCATGCCATCTCTCCCACAGACTCTCAGTGAAGCCCTCACATCATCTCTCCCACAGACTCTCAGTGAAGCCCCCATGCCATCTCTCCCACAGACTCTCAGTGAAGCCCCCATGCCATCTCTCCCACAGACTCTCAGTGAAGCCCCCATGCCATCTCTCCCACAGACTCTCAGTGAAGCCCTCACATCATCTCTCCCACAGACTCTCAGTGAAGCCCCCTTGTCATTTAGCTTTCAGACCCTCTGTTCCAGATACTTTCTCAAGGCTTGGTGGGGGACTCATCTCTGCTTGGCAACATCTGGGCCTTCACCCGGAAGATTCAAAGACCAGTAGTTCTTGATGGCTGGGGACTGCAATCTCTTGTAGCTGTCTTCTCTCACACATCTGGTGGCAGATGGTAGCTACTGTCTGGGGCCTCAGCTGGGCCTATGGCCAGCAAGCTTACCTATGGCCTCTCCCTGTGGTCTCCAAATAGGCTAGTCTAGGCTTCCTCCCAGCCGGTGGCTGGGTGCCAAGAGTGATTGTCCCAGGAGAAAGCTGGGAGGAAGTGCGTGCCATTTTTATGACCCAGGCTTGGAAGTCACGTAGCGCCACTTCCACCATACTGCACTAGTGGAGACAGTCGTAGAGGTCCGCCCAAGTTCAAGGGCAAGGACTAATCTCTACTGTTCAGTGGGAGGATTATCAAGCACACGTTTCATAAATATCCTGTAGGAGATACTGTTATGGTCATTTTTTGGAAAACATAATTCACCATAGACACCTTTTAAAAAAAATAACTCTGTGTCTCTTAGGAACCGTGTTTGACTTCTGGCAACAAAACTTCAAATATGGCAGCTTGAATAACATAGGGGTTATCCTCATGTGGAGTAAATCCAGAAGGCAATGTTGGGGGCTCCTGTACATCTCAGAAACTGCATGCATTTCAAGGGGTCCTCATTAACTTGGATAGCTGCTGTGGCCCTAACCTTCCTATCCATATCTCAGGCAGAAAGGAAAAGAAAAGGAGAAAAGCCGAAGTTTCTGACTCCCAGCTGGAGTTTGTTCCTTTGAAGATGCCTCGGGTTCCACTGGGCAGCTTCTTCCCCTCACTTGTGACTTCAGGGGGAGCCGGAACAGAAGGAGTCAATGGCCAAAGCCAAGCGCAACTCAGTGGCTCTGCTTCTTTGTGTTTATTCTGGAGCTCAAGTGGGGAACAGGCAGTGGGCACCCCAGAAAAGCCCTTCCTGTTCCCAGTCAGCTAGACGGGGGTCTTCTGCTCTACATACATGGGAACTGTGGGTAGACAAGAAGA